GGACAGAGAGCGAGGAGAGAAGAGACAAAGGAGAGAGAGAGAAGAAAGAGAGAGAGAGACTGAGAGGAGAGACAAAAGAGGGGACAGAGACTTGCATTTTCAAACACAAAGAGAGAGAGAGAAATGAAGACAAGAGAGTCGAGACAAAATTGGTGGTGAATGACAGAGACAAAAAAGGGAGAGAGGGGAGAAAGAGAGAGAGAGAAAGACAGAGAGAGAGAGAGAGAACAAGGGTACAAAATAAGCAGGAGAAGAGAGGAGCATAGAGCGAAGAGAGAGAAGAGACTGGCCAAATAAAAACAGGGAGACAAAAGAGAGAAAGAGGACAGACACGAAAGAAAAAAAAACAAGACAAAGGAGAGAGAGAGAGGAAGGACAGGGAGACAAAAGATGTAGAAAGGACAGAGAGCGAGGAGAGAAGAGACAAAGGAGAGAGAGAGAGAAGAGAGAGAGCGTGTGAAGAGAGGGGGAGAGTAGCCCAGAGGCGGCGTTCAGCACACATCAGGGTAGTGATAAGGACTCGGCAAGAAAAGGGTTTGAAGTGCGGACTTCAAAGCCGAGCGCGCCGTGCACACCCCTCCGCCCCTCCTCTAGCTCTCTCCCCCCCTCTCTCCTCCACCTTCCCGAAAAAGAACGAGTGATCGAAACAGATGAGATCGCTGTCCTCGCAAAGTGCAAGAGACCAAAGGGAGCGGAGGAAGGAAAAAAAAATTACAAAAATCATCAACAACTGTAAAGTACAAAGGAGACAAGCCCGGGCTGTGATGGCGGCGCCGGTTCTGAGGGAGAGAGAGGAGAGGACTGCTGTAACTACAACTCCACTGTCAGAAAGAAGTACACCGTATCAGACAGGGACAGGACCGCTGTGACGTGCGGAGAAGTGTGGAGTCGCTGTAGACTTTTATTTCTTCTAGTTCGGGGAAACGCATTTTACTCCGGGCTAGGGTTGTCAAAAGTATAGAAAATCAGATACTAAAACTACGATCAAAACTAGACACTGAGCAGGTATTGATACTGATACACAGGACAGAAATGAACCTTCCTTGAATCGATTTAGAATGATTTTGAGCTGTGTCAGAGCAAGTAGACTAGTATACGACCATGGACCACTGTGGAACCGACCTGGACCACTGAGGGATCACACAGATATAAGACCACACGGTAAAATAAAAGAAAGTGCCATAATTTAATACTGAAAATCACATTCTACTGTCTACATACAGAGTGATTTTTTTACTATCATCGTATTGTATGGAAGCCCTGAGAGGCAAGAGCGAAAACAAAAAGAGGCAGGTAATTTGGGGTCTATTTTCTAAGTGTCTTTTTTTTTAGAATTAGCTCCTGGCATTAGGTGCTGGGTTAGGACGTGGGAGGCCGGGGTTCAAAACTCTTTGAGCGGTGTCTTTTTTTTTTTTTTTTTTTTTGTCATCAGCCTCATCAACAGCGACAAAAACAAAACAAAACAAAAAAAAAAAACAAAAAAGAAAAACACATGAGAAAAAAAATGTGTAAAAAATAATTGAAAAAAAAAATTTGTAGAAAAAAAATTAGTTTTTTTTTTTTTTAGAATTTTTTTTTTGAGTTGGTGGAAAAAAAAAAACAAACAAAAACAAACAACAAACAAAAAAAAAAAAAAAGAAAAGAAAAAAAAAAACACTTAGAGCCCAAATGACCTGCCTCTTTTTTTTCTTTCCTCTTGCCTCTCAGGGCTTCCGTAGTATTGAAATCAGTATTGAGTAGTTTGAAATTTTTATGCTTGTAACCCTAACCCTTGTATGAATATGACTAGGGGTGTGCAAAAATATAGTAATATCAATATATCACATCGTTCAATGTGATGATACAGTATCGATATCATGAGACTGCTGTATCGATATATCACGAAGAGTATTTTTTGCTATATTTTACTAAACTGTTTTGTTACAGCTACAGTTTTGTTGTTTGTTCAGAGGAAGAAAACTCATTTATGCGACACATTTGACATTTTCACTGTTTTGATGAGTAAAATGTTTGTGTTTTATATTCACTTTGCACAAGAAACGGTTTAACAAAGACTTTTAGTATCACAGCCATGATTTAGCCTTTATTTCGTCTTGAACCGTATCGAATCGATTTGAAATATATCGTATCGAATCGTAACAAATTGAAAACTCATTGTGTCACTGTAACGGTCATTTCACTCACTTTATTTATGTTGGTCACTTTACTTACACTCACTTTGCTATTGTTGCGATGAAAAGACTGAAACGTGTTTGTCTTTTGGACACATGCGCACAGACCTTTAAGCTGCAGTAACCGGGATACTGTGTACACACACCATGACAAAACTGGGATTTCCAAAAAACCCGATCATACCCGAGACACTGATGTGCATGTAAACACACTCACTGAGGTGTACAGTGATCTCCGAGGAGGTGCCAGAGCCCAAACGTGAGACCGTGAGGCCGCAACTCCAGTGTTTGTGCTGTTAGACGGAGCCTTGCCTCTTTATGTTACGCACAGCAGCCTACATTCAGTTTGTCGATTAAAAATGAATGTGATCAACGAAATTCTTAAAGATCAATTTTCGATTAGTCGACTAATCATGCCCATCCCTACTCACAACAACTACCATGCTAACAGCGCACCAGCCTTACTTCCTGATTCGCAGATGATAAAAACACTTTATAATTTGAAATAGACGGCACACAGCAGTCTTATTTTGATCCTAAGAGCTGCTTTTACACTTGTTTTTTTTCTTTCCTGTCTGTCCTCAATGTGTCTCAGGGTAAGACACATTGAAATTTCTATTAAAAATGGGTTTAATAAAAACTCATGAACATGCACAGTTAACCAGCTACACTCTTGAATAAAATCCTCACTGAGAATGGGTCAAAGGCAGGAAGAGTAAAGTCTAAAAACACAATTACTGTAAACTTGAGCAACCCTACTGAAATCTAGTGTCTGTAGATTCAGTTTTGTTTGTATTTGGAGCGAAAGATCCAAGTTCTAAAACAATAGGAGACATTTTCACAGCCTGTTCTGCTCGTATTTGCTGAGGGTGCCAGTGTTGGTGGAGGGACTGTAATCCAAATATTAGTGGGGCCATAATATTTGTGGTTGTGATGAGGCGTGATGTGCAGAGAATCACAAAGACACTGTCACATTCACTGAGACTGTGAACACGGAGCTCTGCCAAGAAGACAAGGACCCAGTGTGTGCACCTCCGCCTGGCACTGCTCTGCTAAAACAATTCATTATAAAGGTACAATATTTAAAGGGCTCATTTTACACTATTATATTTAATGTTGTTTCCTCATCACAAACATACCTGGACTTGTGTTTTGCTTCATTCACACATGTTTAACACGCAAACCCTGCATATTTGTGCTCCTCTCTCAGGCCCCATCCACACGTATCTGTATCTGAGTCGTTTTCGTTGTGGATGCAGTGTTCGTCCACACGGAGCTGATGCCGCCAGCTCCAACGAATTCATCTGAGTATGGATCTGATCGGGCACTGTGTGGACGCCTGAAAACGTTGATAGGCTGACGTAGGAGCTCTAGTTGTTGTCCTTATTGGACTACGTCACTGTGACTTGCGCCTTCATGATTCGCTGAGTTCGTGATATCGGTCATGTGACCAACAAACGGGAAACAGTTTAAACAAACCATAGACAAACGGGAAACAGCGTAGCTAGAACTACTTACTACTTTCACGCTTGCCGTATTCCTCGGCTCAAAATCAGCTGCTGCAACTTCACACAAGGTGCTCCATTTCCTTGTTTTTACCGCCTACGTGACATTTTGACAACGTGCGTAGTCATGTGACTAGTGTTTCACTGCGTTTCACATGTGGATAGGGAATGGACACAAAAACGACGTGTCTGGATGCAAATCGTTTCCGATACGGTGATACAGTGATTCATTTCAATGTAAACGTAACCTCAAACAGAAAACACTAATGTCATGTGGTAATACAGGAAGTGCTCCACTGTGTCTTTAAACTCCATAAACGTTTATTAGATTTATCTGGATGATTTCAGACCAGGAATTACCAAAAGGTAAAAGGTAGATGTTAACTTGAAAACTACCACTACATGACATCACAAGGTGGAACAGAGCATTTTGAGCTTGGAGATGTAGACAGGCTAATAATAAAGTGTTGCTCAAACATGTGTAAATGAAATAAAACACACCTCCGAGTATGTTTTTGAGGTGGTAACAACATTATAACATGGCTTAAAGCTCACAAGAGTCAGTTTTCAGTGTAATATAGGACACTGTTTCCCAAAGACGGGGTCACAAGAGATTTTTTTTGGGTCGCCTTGTCACGATCTGCGTGTAGGTCTGCAATATACGTTTACTTCTTTGGCAGCACCACCTTACCTAACCAATTTTCTGTGGGAAACACTGATTACTGTTTTTCATAGTTTGTTTTATTATATTTATTTGAGTAAGGCTACGTTTATGATGATGGTCTGAACAGAAGACTCAAAAGTGGCGTCGCATCTTCACCTTTTACTCAGCGTTGTCTGCGTGCATATGGCGAAGAAAAAGTGTGTAGAATTCGATTGAGTTTGCATGTCAGGCGGCACGGTGGTGATGTACGTGATGTAAATGTGACGTGAGCAGATCTGACCAGAGTTTTGCGTCTTGGGCAGTGTAGACGGAAACGCTACGGCGGAGCATATTCAACTTTTCCACTCTGGAGGGCAGTTTCAGATTTTTGCATTTTTGAGCCCCAAAAACGCTGTCATCGTCTAAATGAAAAGCACTTCTGATAAAATATTTTGACGTTTTTACCTGCAAGTGTTCTCGTGTAAACAGGCCCTAATACTAATTATTTAGAGAGACACAATCACTCAGTCAACAATAAAATATCCTCATTAATGTTCAATAATGGTCACAGATTTACTAATGAAATGAATGAAACACTTATATACGACATGACAGCGGGTAAAAGTTTATTTTAGCCCCCTCTCCTCGTCTGAGTGGTGGTGTGTGCGTGGACAGACTCACCCAGCTCGTCCCACAGCTGCCTGTACTTGTCGGTCATGGTGGTGCCCTGCTGCCTCCACAGAGCCAGTCTGGGGTCGGCCATGAACTGCTCTGTGATCAGTGTTAACATCCGCGCGCCGTTTGAGTCTCGCATCTTCAACATCTCCCTCACCTGCAAGAGGAACAGACAGGAGCAGTGAGACAGGGGCAGTGAGACAGGAGCAGTGAGACAGGGGCAATGAGACAGGGGCAGTGAGACAGGGGCAATGAGACAGGGGCAATGAGACAGGGGCAATGAGACAGGGGCAATGAGACAGGGGCAATGAGACAGGGGCAATGAGACAGGAGCAGTGACAGGACAGTGAGACAGTGAGACAGGTGTAAACAGACAGGGCAATGAGACAGGAGCAATGAGACAGATGAACAATGAGACAGGAGCAATGAGACAGATGTAACAAGACAGGGGCAATGAGACAGGTGTAACAAGACAGGGGCAATGAGACAGGTGTAACAAACAAGACAGGGGCAATGAGACAGATGTAACAAGACAGGAGCAATGAGACAGATGTGCAACAAGACAGGGGCAATGAGACAGGTGTAACAAGACAGGGGCAATGAGACAGGTGTAACAAACAAGACAGGGGCAATGAGACAGATGTGCAACAAGACAGGGGCAACAGGAAAGGTGCAAATTACAGGTACAATTGGATAGGTGCAATACATGACAGGAGCATTGAGACAGGGGCAACAAGACAGGGGCAATGAGACGGGGGAATGAGACAAGTGCAACATGACAGGAGCATTGAGACAGGGGCAATGAGACAGGTGCAATGAACCAAGGGCAACAAGAAAGATACAAAAAGTCAGGGGCAATGAGACAGGTGCAACAAAACAGGAGCATTGAGGCAGGAGCAAGCGAGACAGGAACTACAGGAAAGGTGCATAAGACATGTGCAATTAGACAGGAGTATTGTGACAGGTGGAACAAGACAGGAGCATAGAGACAGGTGCAATAAGACAGGAGCATAGAGACAGGTGCAATAAGACAGGAGCATTGAGACAGGTGCAATGAGACAGGGCCAACAAGAAAGGTGCAAAAAGTCAGGGGCAATTAGACACAAGCATTGAGACAGGAGCATTGAGACAGGTGCAATAAGACAGGTGCAATGAAACAGGTGCAATGAGACAGGAGCAATGAGACAAGCAAGAGACAGGTGCAATGAGACAGGTGCAATGAGACAGGTGCAATGAGACAGGTGCAATGAGACAGGAGCATTGAGACAGGTGCAATGAGACAGGTGCAATGAGACAGGAGCAATGAGACAGTGCAATGAGACAGGTGCAATGAGACAGGAGCAATGAGACATGCAATGGACAGGTGCAATGAGACAGGAGCAATGAGACAGGAGCAATGAGACAGGTGCAATGAGACAGGTGCAATGAGACAGGAGCAATGAGACAGGTGCAATGAGACAGGTGCAATGAGACAGGGGCAATGAGACAGGGACAACGAGACAGGGGCAAGAGGTGCAACAAGTCAGGGGCAATTAGACACAAGCATTGAGACAGGAGCAATGAGACAGGTGCAATGAGACAGGGACAATAAGACAGGAGTATTGAGACAGGTGACAAACAAGACAGGGATAACGAGACAGGGGCAAGAGGAAAGTTGCAAAAGACAGGTGCAATTAGACAGGAGCAGGAGGAGGGGCAACGAGACAGGTGCTACAAGACAGGTGCAATGACAGGTGAATGATCATAAACGTTTAATAACAAATTAATGAGTCCATATTCTGTTTTCTTTGGATTTCTTTTCGTTTATACTTTTAAATGACTATTTCTTTAGCTTCTGTAATTAATTATTCTTCAGTTTTTAAGCTTGAATATGACAAAAACAATGACTTTTATGACTCCTTTGATATTGACACAGACTGGTTAAAGTTCTAAAGCATGAAAACACCAAAGTTTGTAAATTAAATGGCGCTTTTAATCACATGAAGGCACATTTTCGGCCTGCAGTGCTGTGTACATTGTGTTAAACTGTGGGCGTGTGAGCTGTGTTCACCGCTAATGTACACAGTTCGTATGTGGGAGTGTGTGGGACTACGGAAAAACACGCCGCATGATAATGGCTTTGGACTTTTCATTTTTCATGGAGCAAACAACACATTATCGCTAGCCAGGCTCTGACACCATAGACCAGGCCACACTGAGAATTACACCTCTCCTCAGACGGCAGCAGCGAGTACAGACTTCAGACGACGCACTGCGGCGCTCTGTTCCCGCACTTCTCTGCTGTAACTAACAAGTTTGTGGAAAATACAGCGACGACTAATTTTAGAAATGATAAACAGGAGCTAAGACTATTTAGATCTGATATTGACGGTCCGCGATGCAGGGGGACGGCTTCCTGCTCGTCTCCATGGACAGTGTTGGGGAGTAACAGATTACATGTACCAGAGTTACGTAATCAGAGTACAAATTATGAGTAATTGTATTCAGTTACAGTTACTGTTTCAGTGAGTGGTAATCGGATTACAGTTACTTGGTTGAAATAAATGGATTACATAGCTATATTCCCTTTTTTTTTTTTTTTTTTTTGGTAATTCCACTCATTGCCAGACACTAAATCAGGTCCAAGCCAGGTCTACAACCAGGTCTAAACCAGGTCTACAACCAGGTCTAAAACTAGGTCTAAACCAGGTCCAAACCAGGTCTAAAACCAGGTCTAAACCAGGTCTAAACCAGGTCTAAAAGGTCTAAAACAGGTCTAAAACAGGTCTAAACCAGGTCTAAACCAGGTCTAAAACCAGGTCTAAACCAGGTCTAAACCAGGTCTAAAAACCAGGTCTAAACCAGGTCTAAACCAGGTCTAAAACCAGGTCTAAACCAGGTCTAAACCAGGTCTAAAACCAGGTCTAAACCAGGTCTAAAACCAGGTCTAAACCAAGACTAAACCAGGTCTAAACCAAGACTAAACCAGGTCTAAAACCAGGTCTAAAACCAGGTCTAAACCAGGTCTAAACCAGGTCTAAACCAGGTCTAAACCAGGTCTAAACCAGGTCTAAACCAGGTCTAAACCAGGTCTAAACCAGGTCTAAAACCAGGTCTAAACCAGGTCTAAACCAGGTCTAAAACCAGGTCTAAACCAGGTCTAAAACCAGGTCTAAACCAAGACTAAACCAGGTCTAAACTAAGACTAAACCAGGTCTAAATCAGGTCTAAAATCAGGTCTAAAACCAGGTCTAAAACCAGGTCTAAAACAGGTCTAAACCAGGTCTAAAACAGGTCTAAACCAGGTCTAAAACCAGGTCTAAAACCAGGTCTAAACCAGGAATAAACTAGGTCTAAACTAGGTCTAAACTAAGACTAAACCAGGTCTAAACCAGGTCTAAAACCAGGTCTAAACCAGGTCTAAAACCAGGTCTAAACCAGGTCTAAAACCAGGTCTAAAAAGGTCTAAACAGGTCTAAACCAGGTCTAAAACCAGGTCTAAAACCAGGTCTAAAACCAGGTCTAAAATCAGGTCTAAACTAGGTCTAAACTAAGACTAAACCAGGTCTAAACCAAGTCTAAACCAGGTCTAAACTAGGACTAAACCAGGACTAAAATCAGATCTAACCATGTCTCAAACAGGATTTAACAGGACTAAACCATGCCGTGCGGTCCATGTCTCCTCGTCTTCTATCAATAATATTTTTAATTTGGTAAAGTAAAGTCTGGACTTTTTATTATTTTTATTTTCTTTTATCAGACAAAACATCTTATGTGAAGATTTCCTCGTCTTTGCTTCTCTACAGCAAATCAAGTAATCCAAAGTATTCAGATTACATTACTCACTTTAAGTAATTTAATGGATTACGTTACAAACTACATTTTGGGGTATGTAATCTGTAATCTGTAGGGGATTACATTTTAAAAGTCACCTTCCCAACACTGTCCATGGAGATGTTATCGTGTTTAATGCTGGAGTTAAACGTATTTCTCTTGCATTTATTCAATTATTCAGTTTTTATTACTAGAAAATCCACTGAAAATCATGGTGCGCAACAAAGATTTGACCTGTAACAAAGTCTTGTAATGGCATCAACAGCTTGCGATAAATTTGATGTATTGTGGAACATTCCAGAAAGCAGTAACATCGCTATGGAGAAAAGCAGGTGCCGTATACTCCACATATGGCAACTGCATTTGATCTGTTTTCTATATTGTACAAGATTTTAAGGATGATCACAGATTAGAGTTAAGAGCGTAACATTTAATGGCACATATATGAATTCATATGAGCAAAAGTATTTGAAAGTAGCCTATAAATCCCCATGTTTTATTTTTTTTTTTAAAATTGTATCTTGTCATAGTTAGAGCAATAATAAAATAGCAACAATTCTAAGGTTTTATGATTAATAACCAGCCTGATTCATCAGCCGGTTTCACTTTGTGGAAACCGTCTGACCTCGCAGTATTAGGATTCGTTCGCTCGACGGTAGGCAGGTACTTTTTTTATTTAACCAATCGCTGCTATTTGGTTGTGACATATGTAATGCGCCAGATCTCTTAGGAAGAAGGCCAATATCGTCTTTCCCCTTGATAAAATACATACAATATTTAAATCCTCGATCTCGGGAATCGTTGTCAACACAGAATGTATGTCTTCGTCTACATTTAACTCGACCGCTTTATTTACTGTTGTGTTGTACCACAAAAGGGACCCAGACAGGCGCTTGAGTTTGACGTCATGGCTTCACAGCTCTTCGCTGATTCTAGTGTATTCACATTCCTGACCTAGTTGCTGGAGAGAAATGAAATCGAGCCTAATTACTCACTAGGGGTGTGCAAAAATATTGAAATATTGATATATTGTATCGTTTAATGTGATGATACAGTATCAATATCATGGGCTGCTGTATTGATATACCGTCAAGAGTATTTTTTGTAGGGGTGTCAAATTATCGCGTTAATTGCGATTAATAAATTACAGACATATTTAGTGTGTTATGTTTTTTAATCGTGTGAATCTCATTTTTAATCTCTTTAACTTTACTGTTTCTGTATGCGAGTTGCCTTATTATAAAATCTGTTTTTATGTGTTGTTGGGACAACAACACATCGCTCCTGCAAAGAATTGTAATTTTCATTCCCGTTCTCGCCGCATCTGCGATAAACCTGCACATGTAGGATCTGTGAAAACATCGTGACACAGACACAGAACAGACTCACCTTCACCATCAACATCCCTGTCACAGAAAGAACACTCATATTCCACTGCGTCGTGTCCTTTAGTCCAACAGAAGCTGAACCGAATCAGTGCACAAGAGCGTTTTTTTTTTTTTTTTTTCTCTCGCTTAGTTTATACAAATGAGCCATGCGGTTTTTAAGTTTCGTTTCTGTGAGACTTGTGCAAAGCTGCATTAAACACATTATAATGTCAAACGGGCTGATGTGGCTCGTGGTGATGGATTATATGTTGTAAAGTTGAGTTTATTTATGCAGATTAGGAATAGTAATTATGATGATACTGTGGAATGTAAGTGACTGCATCTATTAAAGTTTGTTAAACAATAAATAATTACAAAGTCCCTTTTTTTTTTTGTTCTATATCAGTCTTTTGATCTGCCACAATAATGTAATAATGAATTTAAATGAAAATACAAAAGTTGAAGGCTTTTCTCAGCAATTTATAGGTGAGATTAAAAAGAGATTAATTAGATTAATTAATTACAGATCATAATTAATTAATCTCTCAATTTTTTTAATCGCCTGACAGCACTAATTTTTTGGTATATTTTACTAAATTATTTTGTTACAGAGCTACAGTTTTGTTGTTTGTTCAGATGAAGGACACTTTTTTATGCAGCACATTTGACATTTTCACTGTTTTGATGATTATTATGCGTGCGTTTCATATTCACTTTGGACAAGAAGAGGTTTAACAAAGACTTTTAGTATGAGAGCCATCATTTAGTCTTTATTTTTTATTGAACCGTATCAAATCAATTTGAAATTGATCGTATCAAATCGAAAGTGCACTGTATGGAGGTATGTCTCGTATCGGCAACTTCTTCGTGATACCAATCCCTATTAATCACATTTTATCTGAAGTCTAGATTCAGTCATTTCTAATCTATAAACTTGGGTCATTTTAATTCACAGGGCTATAGCCAAACCTCTAAAAGTATGTGGTTTGGAGCAGAGTTCAAACTGAAGAAGAAATCTGTCTGTTTTTGTGAAAAGAAGCGGTAATTAAAAGTCTGTATTGTAGAAAATTAATATTATTTTTTGTACGCTTCAATTAAATAGAATAGAAAATCAAGATTTATCAATAAAAGGGGAAAACATCATGATAGACTTTATTTTTTGTCATATTACACATTTATTTTAGTTTATTTTTATCTATTTTTTCTACTCTGTTTCCATTATTAAAGCAGTATTTGGAGCGTACCTTGCTGAAGAGGAGGTTGAGCTGTTTGCCTGAGCCGTGGTACCCGCCCTGAGACAGAAACAGCTTCACTTGCTCCTGGACCTGTTCTTCGTCCAAATGCCAACAGTTCTCATCGTCCACGCTGGCCCCTGCTGTGGGGTCCGGGGCCCCTGCACAACACACACACAAGAGACAAAATATTCATGTACAAGCAGCAGTAGTTAGAAGGTTTAAAGAGAAAAAAATGGGATGTTTGGTACTTCAAAAAATACTAAACCAGGATAAGCCACGAAACCAGGTCTAAACCAGGACTAAATCAAGCCTAAACCAGGACTGAATCAGAACTAAACCAGGACAGAACCGGGACTAAACTAGGACTAAACCAGGACTAAACCATAGCTAAACCAGGTCTAAACCAGGGTTAAACCAGGTCTAAAACTGGTCTAAACAAGAATTGAACCAGACTAATCCAGGACTAAACCAGGTCTCAACAAGGACTAAACCAGATCTAAACAAGGAATAAACCAGGATTGACTTGGGATTGAATCAGGACTGAATCAAGACTAAACCAGATCTAAACCTAGCCTACAAAAGGACTAAACTGGTTTTAAACTAGGACTGAACCAGGTCTAAACCAGGCCTAAAGCAGGACTGAATCAGAACTAAACCAAGACAGAACCAGGACTGAAGCAATAGTAAACCAGAGCCAAACCAGGACTAAACCAGAACTGAACCAGGTCTAAACCAGGGCCAGAACAGAAATGAACCAGGTCTAAACTAGGGCTAAACTGAACCAGGACTAAACCAGAACTAAAGCAGGACTAAACTAGGTTCTGCCTCCATTCAAATTGCAGTTTTGATTGATTGACTGTGATGAATTTTGCAGCCCTAAAGAGGAACCACGTGTCCCTCTTTCATCCTGCACTGGTCACTGGTTTAGTTTATCCTTTCATCACACAGATAATCTTCTCACTGGGCCAAATAAAGGGTACACAATCTAGATTTTTACACAGAAAATAGGATTACAAACATATTCCTGGTAAAATCCCAAACTGTCTTACTGTGTTTTACAAGATAAATATCGAAAATCATACAGTTTAATTGCATCACGCCTGTCCCACCGTGACCCGATACACTGCAGGTTGTCCTACTTTTACAACTATTTGAGGTGGTTGTCCTAAATATGCAGAGGAATGTGGTAAACAACACCTAAAAAAGCTTACAGGAAAATAAATAAATAAATAAATAAATACAGAATACGAAAGAAAAGGTACACAAACTTTGGTCGAGACATCTGGCTTAAAGGGTCCATATTCCACTATTTTCTGATCTGTTATAATGTTGTTTCCTCATCACAAACAAACCCAGAGTTGTGTTTTGTTTCTTTGACACGTGCTTGACACACAAAGTCTCAAATGGAAATCACTCTGTTCCACCTTGTGATGTCATACGGTAATACAGGAAGTGCTCAAATGTGTTTTTTTTTTTAATCCATACATGTTCAGATCAGATCATTTGAGCTCTGAAACTGCCAATCTGTACGGCCTGCGTTTACACTGAAACGAATCACCGTGTCACCGTATCGGAAACGATCTGGGTCCAGACACGTCGTTTCTGTGTCCGCAAGCCTTCCCTAATCACACAGCTTTGAGCATATTTGTTTACGTTTTACAGAAATGAAACTTAAAACTGCATGGCTAATTTGCATAAACTGAGCGCTAAAAAAAACAGTTCGATGCGGTTCATCTTTTGTCAGACTAATGGACACGACTCAGTGGATTATGTGTGTTCTTTCTGTGACAGAGGAGTGTTCTGCTGATGGTGAGTCTGTTCTGTGCTTCTGTCACGATGGAGATGGTTCATTGGTTAAACAGGTTAAACTTTTCAGAGATTATACATCTGCAGGTCATACGCACAGACCGTATAAATGAATGGACATATATTCTAGCCTCTTAGCGTTTTGGCGGTGAATTACTTCACGGCGCATAGATCTACATCAGTGTATCACATCAGATCCGTACTCAGATGAAATCGTGGGAGCTGGCGGCACCAGATTGTTTCATCTCTAGAGCCGTTTTCCATCGGATTATTGTGGACGAACACTGCATCTACAACGAAAACCACTCGAATACGAACTAGTGTGAACGGGGCCTACGTAACTAAAGGTAAACGGTAACTGTTAACTTGAAAACTACCGCTTGGAAGCGTGGCGAGATGAAAAAAGAAAGTATATTTATTACAAAAAGTGCTAAAAAAGGTGTACAAAAACTCAGACAAGGATAACACAAAAAAAAAAAAAAAAAACTAAAGAAGCTGCAGTGGTGGACCCAGCATCTCCGGGCTTTTATACCCCCGCTGATCATGCAGGCCGGGTGAGGCTGATCAGAGGGGCGGATCCGAGGTGTGCGGATCTGAGGTGGGTGGAGGCAAGGCCAAACAAAAGTAGGACAGAGTCCATCACAATGACAACAAGGTGGCACAGAGCATTTTTTGAGCTTTGGGGACGACAGACTAATAATAAAGGTTTACTCAAATGTGTAAATGAAACAAAACACAGCTCCAAGTGTATGTTTTTGAGGAGGCAACACCATTATAACATGTCTTGAAGCTCACAAGAGCCAAATTTGCGTAATATAAGACGTCTAAATTATCCAACAGGCTGCTTTAATAATAGAAAAGCTTTTTGAGATATAGCCTATAAATTGTGTTTTTTATCGTTGTACATCTATCATATCCAATATCTTTAAATATATATACCTCATCATTTTAACATATTTCGTTAACACTTTTTATACATCCAGTGGAAATATTTGACTGAAACAAAGCAGCAAATTAACAGCAGCTACTTTGAAATCGACATTATCCTACATCAACAAGGTTTATGAGTAAGTATTAAACAACAAGAAGCCGTGTTCTGCAGTTTGAACACCGTGCGGAGTTGTAGAAGATCATGATGCAAACCCTTGTGTACACCGTGTTTTGTAGCAGCTCTGTGACTTATTGTTGCATCTTTACTCATCTCATATTTCTGATCTTTTCATCAACTGCGGCGCCTTTTTTCTTTTTTTGTGTTTAACCTTTGTCCTGAGTCTGGGGCACGGACTCAGAGAGGGGTGCAAGGGGGTAAGACCAGGTCAACTCTGGAGTTTTTTTCTATATATTTTTGTTTACTCAAACTTGAACTTGAACTCAAAGCGTTTATTCAGGATTTCACCATGAATGTGGTCAAAATACCCCCTCACTTCACATGAAAACTACCCTTGCAAAATGTAGTGGAGTAGAAAGTACAGATAACTGCTCCCAAATGAAGTAAAAAAAAAAAAAAAAAAAAGTATATACTGTAAACGCCACCATGTCCTTCCAAGTAGCTCGCCAAACAATTTCTGAATTATGAGTTTTGAGCTACATAACAAAAATTAGATGAACAGAATCACTAATAAAATTGTAAACATATAATTTTCATGCCTAACTTTACTTTCTTCACTAATACATGGATGATGGTGCATGTTTTATAGGCCTCTAACTGTTTCTATCTGTGGCACTTATATTTACTCAATTTGTTGCGACCGCTAAAATTAAATTTTAAAAAATTTTTGTTTTGTAAAGGTAGCTCACCGGAGGAAAAAGGTTGTCTTTAATTATCTGTATTTTTCTTAAAGGTGCATTGTTTAACTTTTCTAGTGGACGGTCCGTCAAATGTTTTTCTGATGTTATTACTTTGTCTGGAATGTTTCACAGTATGGCATTAAAATCTTGATGGAGACCAAACCAGACCAAGTTACAAGTCAGATCTGTGGAGAGGCAACCCCACTCACAGTCAGAATGCATGTTTTTTCTAGGTATTTTGAGCTTTAACCCTCTTAGGCTCAAATTAAGTTGTAGTAACAGGAAAAATCTGATATTTGGGGAAAATGATCATATGGGGTAGTAATATCCAATCCTGACATTTTTTTGGGAGAGACCTTCACATGCAATGCGTTCTGGGATGTTGCAGATTTGGTCCGTTGTGGTAAATTAACACTGAAGACTGAAAATGATATGAACACTAACTTTATGTGTTCACCACTTTTCATAACAATGAAAGCAAAAAGCACAGTGTAACAGCTTTACAGTGTCAGAACAACATCACTTTTTCATGTGGTGCTCCAAAAAACAATTTTTATCCTTTGTAAAGCACAAAAGTACTTTGCACTTCTGGCAGGACGTTTGCGTGTAGCCGTTCCTACACAGTCTGCATCGTCCACGTTTATCAGCATGGATGTGAAGAAAAGGCTCCTGAGTAAAAAAGGCTCATAAAGTATGGATGTGGAGTAAGTAGGTAACTGGCATTTAGCTATTGCAAATCTGCAACGCCTGCCTGGAGAGGGTTAAAACCATCTATAATTTAATAAATGTAAAGTTGAGCTGTTTAAAGTCACACTCTGGAACATTCCAGGCAGAGCAATGACATATCTATAGAAATAAGCAGGTAGGTGACAGAGCCCCACCCAAAAAGTTACACAGTGCACATTTAAGTACAGTACTAGATCTACGAGCTAGGACTAAGCATACATATTTAGTGTTTATATATATTTTTTACAACTAGTGCAGTTTTAAAGTGCTTTCAGTAAAGTTTGAGTTCAAGAATAGGGCAACCCTGAGGAAGAATCAGGCTCTTCATTAGACACAAGAATTGCACAAAACCTGAATAAGCCTTTTGATAATGTTATTCACAATATATGAATGCTATTTCCCTATAATATGTCATCAAAACACTCTATATTCCCCTTTAGGAGCAGCTCTTAATGCCTTAAATGCAAACATACTGAATATGTGAGTTCTCTTGCATTCTAAACATAATTATACACATTTCTCTAGCTTTCCTTTTCCTTTTTCCTTGACACACAGTTACCTCCGCGTCTTTATTTACTTCTGAAATAAGGTTCAGCTAAGCGGTAACAAAGCTAACTCCTCACTCGCCTGTGTCCTCCTCACATCTTGGGATCTATAGTGTTGATTGGACGCCCGCTGTCTCTCATATAGAGTCTGTACTCCGCTAATGACTCCCATCGACCCGAAACGCTTTAAGTGTCAACCTCATGTATTCACCAGGAGTCGACGCACAAGCAACAACTCACAACTTTACACCTCTGAGAAACTGTGTGGCGTCACGTTTTTGAGAATAATAATTAAAGATTCTGTATTAGGCAGAAATTGACTCTTGTGAGCTTTAAGCCATGTTAGAATGTTGTTACTTCATTAAAAACGTACATAGAGCCGTGTTTTGTTTCATTCAAACGTTTGAGTAACACTTTATTATTAGTCTGTTTACATCTCCAAAGCTCAAAATATTCTGTTCAACCTTGTGATGTCATGAAGTGGTATTTTCAAGTTTTACCTTTTACCTTTTAGTTTCGCAGAGACTGGAAATTCAAAGGTTGAAATTATCCAAATGATTCTAGTGAAGGCGCATGGCAGAGCACTTCCTGTATTACCACATGACATCACAAGGTGGAACAGAGTGTTTTGAGAGAAGCCTAAATATGCAGGATTTGTGCGTTAAACATGTGTGAATGAAACGAAACACAACTCCAGATCTGTTTTTGACGAAGAAACAACATTTTAACAGACAGTACATCAAAAATTTGGTAATATGACCCCTTTAGACAGATAGCAACAGCCGTTTCACATTTTCGTGACTTAAACTGCGATGCCGGACTTTTGCGTCACATACAGACTGAACCAGGACTGAACCAGGACTGAACCAGGACTGAACCAGGACTGAACCAGGACTGAACCACGACTGAACCACGACTGAACCACGACTGAACCATGACTGAGTATCGATAGAGCCCGGAGGTGAGCCCATGTAGACTGTCAGGTGATCAGGACTGGGGACTAGACCGGGATTAGACCAGGACTGAGAGCAGGACTAGACTGGGACTAGACTGGGACCAGACAACGCACAAGCAACAACTCACAACTTTACACCTCTGCGTTCATTACACGTTCTTGAATATAATAATTAAAGGTTCTATATTACGCAGAAATTGACTCTTGTGAGTTTTAAGTCATGTTAGAATGTTGTTTCCTTATCACAAACATACCGGAGTCGTGTTTTGTTTCATTGACACAATTTATTATTAGTCTGTCCACATCTTTGAAGCTCATAATTCTCTGTTCCACGTTGTGATGTCATGTAGTGGTGTTTTAAAGTTTTACCTTTTAGCTTTAGTTCAGTAGAGACTGGAAATGCAAGGGTTGAAATTATCCAAATGATTCTAGTGAAGGCGCATGGCAGAGCACTTCTTGTATTACCACATGACATCACAAGGTGGAACGGAGTGTTTTCTGGTTGAGAGAAGCCAAAATGTGCAGGATTTGTGCGTTAAACATGTGTGAATGAAACGAAACACGACTCCAGATATGTTTTTGATGAAGAAACAACATTTTAACAGACAGTACATGAGAAAATATTGTTATATGGGCCTTATAAACACAGTCGATACGCTAAAAAATGCAAATATTTGCCAGCCAACGATATCAGTCCATCTCTAATTCTACAGAAAGCATCATCATCATCATGGAGAGAAATACACACACACTCACATACACACACAGTTCCCTGGCTCAACACTCTAATAACATGAACTTGGCTGCTCTCTGCTTCACCAGTGCTTTTAAGTTTGTTTCAATACAAGAACCGCACAAAACTTGAATAAGCCTTTTAATAACGAATCATCATTCATATTATCAATGCTATATGTCTCTAATTTAGCATCAAAACACTCTAGATGTCTCTTTAGGAGCTGCTTTTAGTGCTTTAGATGTAAACACAGAGCATATATGAGTGAGTGCTCTCGTTATTCTAAACTTGGTCTCGTCTCTATGTATTTGAACAAAATGTGTCAAGAAATTGTATGAGCAGCTCTTGAGATCAAAAGATGTCCACTAAGGCTGCTCAATAATGGAAAAAACATTATGACGATTATTTTGGTCAATACTGAAATCATGATTATTCAAATGATTATTTTTTAGTTACATGATGCATTTATTCAGCAATTCTCTCTAAAAAAAAACCCACTTTGTTATTGATAATTTATGCAAAACTTTCAAATTGAAAATAAATAAAAGATTCAAATATGAAGCTTAGAGCAGTATTGTGATCAAATTAATAAAATATACGTCACTGAACATGAAATAAGGCAGGGGAAAACATCAATGTATCCAAAAAACAAAAAAGCTATATAACCAGCTGTTCTACAACAAATATGTCAAACTCAGGCCCGGGGGCCAAATCTGGCCCACAATATAATTATATCTGGCCAGCGAGATCATATCAAATATGTATTAGAGCTAACCCCCCGGCTACAGATAGACTATAGAGACATTATTTATTTAAAATTTGGTTATTGTTTTATATTAAGTTTCTTCTGGATTCAATGTTTAAGCAAAACTATTATTGAACATTTATTTTAATAAGAAAAGGTTTAACATGACATATCTCGAAAGAAGAGAAAACATGCAGATGTTGTTGAAATTTTTCAATAAATATTTAGTTTGGCCCACGACTTAGTCCCAGTTTTTAATTTCAGCTCTCTGTAAATTTGAGTTTGACACCTCTGTTCTATAATCTCTACATTTAAAAAATAAAATAAATATACTTCAGTTAATTGCACAGCCTTAATGTCCACTGTGTACTGACTGCCACACACACAGTCCTCTGGTTCACGTTAGCATGCTAGTTGTTGTTAGTTGCTTATAAACTCATCACTATCATGCACACACAGTCCTCTGGTTCACGTTAGCATGCTAGTTGTTGTTAGTTGTTTATAAAGTCACAGTCACACCCTCGGTTTCTCGGCTGAGTGACTCTTACCGTGGACTTGGTTGATCTCTGAGTTCTGTGAGAGGATTTCGTCTGCCAGTTTTTGCGCGGTTGGCAGGACTTCAGTGTGGTGGACTGAGATCAAATACTGCACAAACTTCTGTAGCTGGTCCCGGCTCATCTGGAACAGGGTCTCTGAGATGGGCAGGTGCAGTTTGACCTGCTCGGGCTTCCGTACCCTGTAAAGCGACAGCGCCACCACATGGGCGCAGTAGAAGATGTCCTTGTTGCCGCACGTGCACGTTACCGCGGTGATTTTGCAGCGATCGAAGCTGACGCTGACGCTGCACACGAGCTCCGGAGACGACTGGGTGGCCGGGTCTGTCACTGTGCCGCTGAGATGGAAACCTGAGGACAGAGAGAGGAAGAGGAGGTCAGGATTTTGAGAAAAAATTGGAATGAATACAAAGAATGATCATGGATTTTGTAGGCATCTCTCAGTAACAAATTTTGAAGTTAATATACGATATGATAAATAATAATAAATGGTAAATATTCACTTTTTGAATATAGAGCTCTTCCACTTTCAAGACACTCAAAAAGTTTTTACTTCAAGGAACCACTCACCCATTCACACACACACATCCAGACACTGAGAATCCGTGTATCGTTCGTTCATTTGTTTTTCAAAATAAAACCAAAAATAAAAAAAATAAAAAAACAACTATTTTCTTCTTTATTTGTCCTCAAAACCAAAATGAAAAAAGGGATAACAATTTGTTTTCTTCTTCAGATTTTGTGTTTACATAAATAATTTAAACACAAAATATGTGACTTAAACTGCGATGCCGGACTTTTGCGCCACATACAGACTGAACCAGGACTGAACCAGGACTAAACCAGGTCTAAACCAGGACTAAACCAGGACTAAACCAGGACTGAGTGTTGGGACAGGCCTGGAGGTGCACCTGATTAGACTGTCGGCTGATCAGGACTGAGACCGGGACTAGACTGGGACTAGACCGGGACTGAGACCAGGACTAGACCAGGACTGAGACCAGGACTAGACCGGGACTAGATCGGGATTGGACCAGGACTGAGACTGGGACTGAGACTGGGACCAGACCAGGTTTGAGTCTGGTTTAGTCTTGATTCAGTCCTGATGTAGTCCTGATTTAGACCTGGTTTAGACCTGGTTTAGACCTGGTTTAGACCTGGTTTAGTCCTGGTTTCAGTCCTGGTTCAGTCCTGGTTCAGTCCGTATACGGCGCAAAAGTCCGGCACCTCAGTTTAAGTCACGGAAACAGGAATCGGTTGTTATCCATTTTTTCCATTATTCCTTTAAACACAAAATCAAAAACTGAAAAAAACTAATCATTATCTGTTTTTTCATTTTGGTTTTGGAGACAAATAATGAAAAAAAAAAATTTGTTTTTTCATTTTCTTAATGCTGGTTTTATTTTGAAAAAGGAATGAACAAATGATACACGAATAATTGAAGGCAAGTCGGGTTAAGTGTCTTGCCCAAGGACACAACGACAGCATTCACGGACAAACGCGCTACTATCGCTGTATTGAACGGCATTATTCCACTGACACAATAACCCTAAAGCAGGAAATATTTAAATAGTCGTCTGAAGAGTCAAATTGAAAGAAAATAATATAGAAAATCAGACAAAAACAAACAAATCAAAACAAGGCACTCAAAAGTTCAAAAGCCTTTATGGCACCTCGGCTATTAAGGATAAAAACATAAACGCCGACGCAATTCATCCAACACAGCGTTCATCAGGGCGCAAGGACAAGTCTTCTCTCTTGTTTTTTATTCTCTGAGTTTCTATACATATCTTTGAGCTTTCACCCTATAGATAACTGTTTTCTATACTGTTTTCTAACTATTTTAAATATTTGCAAGTTAAAACAAACAGCACCAGTCTACAATTTTTAACTATTCATGTACCCAAGCAGCGATCTTTTTCAACCCCCCAAAACACAATTCTCTATGTACAGTATTGTGAGTTGAGTCTATTTATTTCACCGTCTACAGCTCAAAAACAACAAAAAAATACCAAAAAGTTCCCAAACATAAATACAAATAAAAAGTACCCATGATAAATACAGATCTCCAGTATAAATGTGTTGGTAGTAATGGTTATTAAGGTGACAGGCCTTTATGTTTTTTGTTTTTTCAATCACACTCTCGCACTTTACACGTATTATCGGAAAAAAGTGAAGCTGAAATAAGAGTAAATCTGAACATTATAATGGGCCTTTTGGGTTTATAGGAAGCTGGTTTTAGTGACAGGATCTGGCAACCCCAAGTGAGTTAAAACATAAAATAAAATATAAACATCCACTGACAAATGTGCAAAAATATCAAAATATCAATATCTTGTAAAGTTTAATGCGATTATACAGTATCGATATCGTGGGCTGCTGTATCGATATATCACCAAGAGTATTTTTTGGTATATTTTACAAAATTATTTTGTTACAGTGCTACAGTTGTTGTTGCTTGTTTAGTGAAATGATCTTCTTTTATGTAACACATTTCACATTTTCACTTCCACGTTTTGATGCTTAAAATATTTGTGTTTCATATGAACTTTGCACAAGAAGTGGTTTAACAAAGACTTTTAGTATCACAGCCATGACTTAGCCTTTATTTTTTATTGAACCGTATCAAATCGATTTGAAATATATTGTATATCGTGGCCTATGTATCGTATCAGCAACTTCTTAATGATACCCAGTCCTACTGACCATTATATTCAATATTCAATCACAATTTGACCATTATATGTGACCTTTTAGAAGGTTACACAAAAAAGTAAGGTGTAATGTTTCTAGTCAGATCTTATAAAGCAGGTGAACACTGTTTCCCACTGAAAGAGGACATTAGGTTGACACCCCCACAGACTAATATTTACACTTTATACCTGTAATATTGTCTTAACCAGAGGTGGGAACTTGTCAGTCGTGACTTGGACTCGAGTCAGACTTGAGTCACTATTTTTAGGACTTGAGACTTGACTTGATAAAATGGACTAAGACTTGGGGCTCAATTTGTACTTGAAGGTCAATGATTTGGGGCTTGACTCGGACTTGAGGCCTGTGACCTTAGAAGACTTAAGAAACACTTTAAAATCAGAATTCTTTCTATTCTGACAGTAATGATTCACACTAAGATCTTGTCAAGACATTTAAAAAGGAAAGATTAACATTTCTACAACTCATATACTCTATAAATACTCATAAATAAATATACTATGATGTTTTTAAAGTACAATTTAGTTTAAAATTCATATGAATGGCAAAAATCTAAGCTGTATTTGGGACTTTGGTTTAAAGACTTGAAATGACTTGAAGCTCAAAGCAGACGACTTGGACTTGACTTGGACTTATGGGCCAGTGACTCGAGACTCAACTTGGACTTGCCTGTATTTAACTTTGGACTTGAGGTCAAAGACTTGAGACTTACTTGAGACTTGCAAAACGACTTGGTCCCACCTCTGGTCCTAACCATATAGAAGTAAGTAACTATATTTTATCTGTATTTTTGTTTTTATCAGCAAAGTCAAAAGGTCACATTATTCTCCATATAGTGCATTGAGTAAAATGATTGAAACATGGATCTTTTGGGCCACCGTAGTCTCAGTACATACTTATGGGAAACTCTGAGATTGCAACACAAACTCGTATTTCTCGTACATATTCTTGCGATCCTAATTCCAGTTGTCTGAAAGCAGTCATTCGATTTTGTTTTAACCCAGTCAGTGCTGATTCTTTGACGAGATCAGACGGTGAAACTCAAAAATCAAGATAAGTTGAATATCTGTCCGGGTCCAGGCTCGCTCTACAACATTTTTCACTTAGCCTGAACAGCTTAATTGACCTTATTGAATCTGCCCTTTACAAATGACATTAGCGTGGAAATCTCATTGAGGCCGAATGGAGTCAAGGTGGAGTTCAACCGTAGTACGAAACAAAATGAATTGTTTACGGGCAATGTTAAAGGTTCAATGTGTAACTTCTGGGGGTGGGGGGTTTGTTGTTTGTTTGTTTGTTTCTATGGATATGTCATTGCTCTGCCTGGAATGTTCCACGGTACGACATTAAACAGCTCTACCTTATGTTTATTCAATTACAGGTGGTTTTATAACTCAAAAATACGTGAAAAAACAGGCATTCTCGTTGCTTGGTCTTGTTTGGTCTCCATTAGGGGTCGATATATCGTATCTAGGGGTGTAACGATATCCAAGTCTCACTGTACGATATCGTCACGGTATGAAAGTTATTGCGATATCGTGGGAAAGGTCACGATTAGGGATGTAACAATATCCAAATCTCTCTGTACGATATTTTCACGATATACATCTCACGGTACGATATTTATTTCGATATTTTGTGGAGGCTGACAAAACTGTTAATATGCTATTTTTTCCTCTTAAAATGCCTTGACAAGACGTAATCCAAAAAACTAAGACTTAGTGCTTAGAACTGTTATTTCTTCTTGTAGTCTGCACTGAAATGGAGCAAAGGATCATGGTCTATGTAGTTCCCTCTGTCTTTTTTAGCTATTACTGCACCACAACTCTTAATTTAAGCAAAGAGACTTGTAATTCGATATATTGTGATGGTCCAGATATTATTGTGAGAACTCTGATGATACGATATCACAATATTTTGGTTATTGTTACATCCCTAATATGTATCATTTAATGTGATGATACAGTATCAATATCGTGGGCTGCTGTATCGATATATCGCCAAGAATATTTTTTGTTATATTTTACTAAATTATTTTGTTACAGCGCTACAATTTTGTTGCTTGTTTAGAGGAATGAAACTTGTTTATGCGACACATTTGACATTTTCACCGCTTTGATGATTAAAATGTTTGTGTTTCATATGAACTTTGCACAAGAAGTGGTTTAACAAACACTTTTAGTATCACAACCATGATTTAGCCTTTATTTTTTATTGAACTGTATCAAATCGATTTGAAGTATATCTTATCGAATCGAAAGCTCACTGTACAAGACGTATCGTGGCCTGTGTATCGAGGTATGTATCGTATCGGCAACTTCTTAATGATACCCATCCATAGACTCCATGATGATATAAAGGTTTAATGCCATACTGTGAAACATTCCAGACGAAAGCATTTGATGGACCCTCCACCAGAAAAGTTACACAACGCACGTTTTTTTCCGTTGGTGGATCTGCCGCCTGCTCGTCTCCAGATGTTTCACAATAAAGTGTAAACTTATCTATCTCCATGGAGACAGGTGACGCAAACGCCAAGAAAAAGTAATATAATTTGACTGTGTCCCGATGACTCAGGTGAAAGACAATGGCTGCTGGCTTCAAAATTGAGCTGGATCTTTGTACAAGAAAATCCGAGA